GTTGTATCAAGCTGCAAGTATGGTTTTTAATTTTGCAGAGTTGGAAATTTTTAACATGGGTGTCTGTAGGGCCCGACCTCCCTCTGAAACCAGCTTCAAGCGGCACTTATGGATCTGCAGGTTTTTAAACTTCCTCGCTGGCCTCATGTTCCATCTACAGAGGTTGGCACTTGGGGAGCATTTTTAAACTTTTTCCATCCACTCACAAATTGAAACGATGCCCCAAACTTGTTCAGCCTTTAGTTGGTCACTAAAAATTGTTACTTTTATCAGTTATTTTTCAGCTTCATTTGGATAATACATTTCAATTGTGTTAGCAAACAAAAGAGCAGCTGTAGCAAACATGCGAGTGTAAGACTAAGGCTGTCCTTATTGGGGTATCTTCATTACATTACATTCAGATTAAAAGGTTTTCACTGACATGCTTAATTTCTTTCTTTTAATTTAAAAATGTCTCAAAACTCTCACAGCAGTGGTATCTGCCGATTGTTCCTGAGAAACAGACTCTTTCTGTATCTTCATAGCTGTTCTTTGCTGAAAATAGTAACAATTCCCTTGTATCTATTAGTCTTCACATCAGCTGACTGTATTGTCTGGCATCCTGAAGGTATTCACTCCACATCACCATTTTCACATTTTGTTGTGTTGCAGCCTTATTCCAAAACATTTAATTAACATTAAACATTTTTCACCTCAAAATTCTGCAGAATGAAGAAAAGTTTGCTTCACATTCTTACAAATGTATCAGTATTTTTACAGAATGTTACATGTTTACAGGCTTTGCTCAGCGGCACAATGATCAGCACTGTTGCCTCACAACAAGAAGGTCCTTCAGTTCCACTACGTGGGTGGTCCTTGTGTGGAGTTTGCATGTTCTCCCTGTGTTTGCGTGGGTACTCCGGCTAACAATTTACAAAAGCCTTGATAGAAATATGGTTTTCTAAACTTCATGCCCCCCTTAGATTCATCACTGTGATAGAAAGTGGAAGGCTACCTTCAGTTAGCTGCCTGATTTACAAATCATGTCAAACTAAGTTAACAGCTCATCTGTAGATTTTAATATAACTTCAGTAACTTTACTACAAAGCATCCATC